TATTCAAGAACTTTCGTTTCCAATTAAATTATGTGTTGTTTAGTTGTGTAGTGGTTTATATATTGTCTTTGCTTTATTTCTGATTTGTATGTATTCCTAAAATGTATGTCACCGTCCTGCCTTCCCCTCCCCCTTACCTCTCCCCACCGTTGTTGTAAAACACGATGAAAAAATGCAATAAAAGTTAATCACAAAAAGGAGATTTTAAACTTTAGCTAGCTTTAAGTTCCAGTAAGCTTTACAGCCTGGTACTTCGTCAGGCTTTTAATGAGATCCCAATATGAGGATAAAACAGGAATGCTGCGCAAAAATTAATATTCAGTGACCCTTCTCTGGAAGTGGTTAGAAGTAAATTTTTTACATTTTGTCCATGTGATATAGTAAAATCTTTTTAATTTCCAGAAGAGATTGTGTCTTCCCTCCCTTATTGTGACCCCATTATTCATAGCTACAAAAAGGTGATTTTTAACTTGAGTCAGTTTTCAGTTCTAGTTAGCTTTTTAACCTGGTACTTAGTCAGGCTCTTAATCAGATCCCAATAAGAGGAAAAAAACAAGAATGCTACACAAAAATGAATATTCAGTGACACTATTTTGGACATTAAAAGCCTTTATTATATCATGGCTATGGGTAAAAGGTTAAAAAGGAGCTTTTTTCACCTCATATTGTCATCATCCCACTAACAACCTCTCTAAGTACTGAGTTAACAAGCTAATCTAGCTAAAGCTGAAAGCTAACTAAAGGCTAGAAGTTCATTTTTTACATTTTGTCCATGTGATGTAGTAAAATCTTTTTAATTTCCAGAAGAGATCGTGTTTTTTCCTTCTTATTGTGACCCCATTATTCATAGCTACAAAAGGTGATTTTTACGTGAGTCGGCTTTCAGTTCTAGTTAGCTTTTTAACCTGGTACTTAGTCAGGCTCTTAATCAGATCCCAATAAGAGGAAAAAAGGGAATGCTATGTAAAAATGAATATTTAGTGACACTTTTCTGGACATTAAAAGCCTTTATTATATCATGGCTATGGATAAAATTAAAAATTAAAAAATGAGCTTTTTTTCTCTCCTCATATTGTCATCGTCACATTAACAACGTGTCTAAGTACTGAGTTAACAAGGTAAGCTAAAGCTAAAAGCTAACTGAAGGTTAGAAGTATCTTTTTTCCATGTGATGAAGTAAAATCTTTTACATTTCCAGGAGAGGTTGTGTTGTTTTCCTCTTATTGTGACCCCATTCAGAACCTACAGTCGTGTGCTAAAGTTTTGGCACCCCTGGTCACATAGCATGTGTTGTTGGGAGAAAAGAAGGTAATGCATCCTCTACGGAGAACACACTTATACATATTTTACTGCTTAAATATTTACTGTTTATTTGCTCTATTACACAACAAATAAATAGAAACACAACAAACACAACAAATAAATAGAAACTGTTCAATAAAATTTGCATAAAAATGCCATATTTAAGTTTATTTTCTTTAGAGAATATGTTGATTAGAAAAATCATTCTATTAGAATATCAAGAAACGTGTCATGTGACCAGGGGAAATCAAACTTTCAGTAAGCAGTGCTGTTTTCTGTGATACTGCGTGTGATGGCTTGTCTTCTCTCATTTTGATTGCTTTCCATGCTGCAGTCCAAGGCTTGTTTGGACCACTGACCACCCAGCGTCCAGTTTCTCTCTTCCCCGCTGCTTTCCACCGTAAAGGTCATGAGTAACGGAGGCGGTGCGATGGCCAGCTGCGTAATTGTGGCCAGCGCAATGTCCAACCGCAAAAAGCACACACATCTCTTTGGGAGGCTTTTTGAAATTGCTATAGGTGGTCTTCGGCCCCCCTCTGTCTCTTTTTCAGCCATTTTTTTTGTGTGTCTCCACCCCTCTCCCATTCATCACCCCCTTTTTTCCTGGCATTAAGTCTAGGCCTGACACTGACACTGACTCTGTGTGTCATCCTCTCTCTCTCTCTCTTTCCCTCTCTCCCTCTCTCTCTCTCCCTCTCTCTCTCTCCATCGCTCTGAGGACCAAAGTGCCTGCAGATGCATTTCTCTCCCCAGCCTGCTCCCCCCTCCCTCTTCTCCTCTCTTTCGCCCTGTCTAACTCTCTCCATCTCTCTCTCTCTCTCTCTCTCTCTCTCTCTCTCTCTCCATTCCTTCCTTACACTCTCTGTCTCTCTCTCTCAAACACAGTCTAACATCAACAAAGCCAGGGAGCAGAGAGAGACAGAGAGAGATGGATGCCCTGTGATAGAGTGATAGAAAGAACGATTGCGGCACCTTTCATCCAGCGTTCACCCGCCAGGTGAGTCCATCTCCATCCTTTACTCTCAGCTAGAAAAAACTGACTGTCTGCACTGAAAAAGTGATGCGTTAAATATACTTTACTCAAATGTTTTCTAGCACAATTATTAACCAAAAGTAAGAAAAACAAAAGTCTTGATTATACAAATTGTCTCACAATGTAGATCTGTAATATATTCAATGTATGTGGAAGTGAAGTATATGTTAAAGTACATTTAATGCCAGTTCAATGCTTTTTTCAGTGTGTGAAAGACAGACAGACGGACACATCATACATTTACCAAACTGCAAGATTTGATAAAAAGTATCATGGAATTAATTCGGGCCAAAATAGTGGAACAGCGTCATATTCACAGCACAATTCTTTGCAAACTGGATCTTGCTTCCTTAAATAGTGTTACAGTGATATATATAGTGTTCATATATGGTGTTGTAAGAAAGCAGAGTCTTTAACTTCATAGGAGAAGTAGAAACTTTCCTAACTTAATATGTGTTATTGATATTTTATTCCAAATAATTTCGGATCATTTCTATCAACGTGTTCCTTATGAAACGTTCACACAGTGTAAAGAGCAGCTGGTGATTTCAAATAGTGTAAAAAGAAAACAAAAACAAGAAGAAAAAGGAATAATATAACATAACATAACAAAACATTACATAATATAACATAACATTACATAATATTAGGAATAAAAAAAATCCTAACCATTAAAATGAAATTATTTTATGAGTTATGAGGTTGTCTTATGATTTTATGCTGTGTTGTGGTCGTGATTGACAGAAGTGGTGATTAATAGATCTTCTGTCTATCTATCTATCATACTCAGTCTAGTGAGAGGTATCTGTCTGGGGCTATTTTATTATATTCTATTATATTCTATTATGTTCTGTTTTATTAATCGGTTCTATTCTATGTTATTCTGTTAATCCATACAGTATTCCTTTTTGGTTCCCTACATTTTTCGGTGGATAGTTCTTTAGAGAACCTTTTTTGTTGTAAATAAGATGTGTGAGTGTAAAGAACCTATTAAAAGTTTAAAGAACCTCCATATGGTGTAAAGGTTTAAAATGATGTGGAACCTTTACATTATGTGAAGGTTCTTTAAACCTTTAAAATGTCTTCACACTCAACATTTCTTTTTTAAAACATGGGAACCAAATGAAGGTTCTTCTGTGCCGTCACTCAGAGAGCTCTATCGATCTATCTATCTGTCTATCTATCTATCTATCTATATATCTATCTATCATTCTCAGTCTACTAAGAAGTATCTGTTTAGGGCTGTATTATTATATTCTATTATATTCTATTATGTTCTGTTTGATTATTCAATTCTATTCTATTCTGTTCTATTCTATTCTATTCTATTCAGTTCATCTATAGAAGAACGACTTTTGGTTCCCTACGTTTTTCAGTGGATAGTTCTTTAGAGAGTTCTTTTTTGTTGTAAATAAAGTATTTGAGTGTAAAGAACCTTTTTAAAGATTAAAGAACCTCCACATGATCTTTACATTATGTGAAGGTTCTTTAAACCTATAAATGTCTTGACACTCAAAATTTCTTGTTAAAACATGTAAACCAAAGGCGGTTCTTCTATGGCATTGCTCAGAGAACTCTTTGTGGCACCTTTTTAAAGAGTGCATTTTATTCTATTCATCTTATTCATGGATTCATTCTATTCTATTCTATTCTATTCTATTCTATTCTGTTTTGTACAGATGCACCACACGTCTTACGCCTCCTTTAATTATTTACTCCATCAGTGAACATTATTACATTGTCACTGCTTCTCTTATTTGTCAAGCTACAAACTGTCTTTATTTCTGGATCATAGGTGTTTAAGACTGCATGTACTTTTGTATAGATGCGTTTTGCTGTGATAGGCACTGAATATGTTTATCAGTCTCATTGTGTGCTTTGTGTGGTGTGTGTGGGGTGTGTTAGTGTATCCGTGTCTGGGCTGGAGTGTGTGTGTACGTCTCTGCGGGCGCAGTGTGTATTGTCGCTAACGTTAACCGACAGTGTTACTCTGTCCATTCATGCGTGTGTACAGCGATGTCAGGCTGGATGTTCTGTATTTCTTAATTTCTCTGTGTGTATGTAATGAACTGTGTGGCAGGGGAGATGAGGGGGGGTTGTGTGTGTCTGTGTCTAGCGGGGGGGGTGGGGGGGTATGAGAGAGAATCCATAAGACAAATACTAAGTTTGATATTAATATTAACATTAATGTGAAGCCCTCAGGCTCCTTTGTGTGTCCATATTATGAGGGTTATTATAGCAGTGAAGGCCTATGGAGTTCTGATTAATTAATGAGTGTCGTTGAGTGTGTGAGGTGTGTTTTTAGGTGTGTGTCTCTGTCTGTGTGCATCAGTGATGTTTGGGGAGGCCAAAGTTGATGTTTTGTTCAGGAATTTGATTATATTCAAGATTGTGTGACTGTATTTGCTTGCTATTTGTTTTGTATCTATTATATATATATAAAATGTAGTTTTGTGTGTGTGTATATATATATATATATATATATATATATATATATATATATATATAACATGGTCTATGTATAAAATATATATTAGACTGCCGTGTGCTGGAGGAGTGAGCAATGGTGGGCTGAAGGTTAATACTCTCTCTACCTCTTTCCTCCTGTCCATCCAGGTCTGCACTGTTAAAGGGAGAAAGTGGAGGATCAGCTGTGGATCTTGGAGTTATAGGGGGGGAGAGAGGGTCTACAGCACGCTGAGGAGTGTGTGTGTGTGAGTGTGTGTGTGTGTGTGTATGAGGTGTTATGTATGAAAAGCCCATCATGTTGAACCTCCAAAACAGCTCCAACTGGACCAACCCAGACAACTGGTACCACCAGACCAACACAATAACCCCCGCAGCATGCAGCAGGTACGCACAGACACTAAGAGATGGTTAAGAGAGGATGCGTGATTGCAGATATGCACACTTTGCTGTCAGAGTTTGGTCTTAGTCCATCTGGTTGAGTTGAGGGTAGGGTTGGGGTTAGGTTTTGGGTTAGCCTTAGAAAAATCTTTTTATATAGAGATACTATGAGGCATATTATTATTGTACATAAGCACTTATATATGTGTAATACATATGGCTGCTGTTGGAACAAAACCTCATATCTCCAAAATGATAACTTTACAGGAGAAGGAAAAACATACTTTACTTTTAATGTGAGTCAGTGGAACCAGACTTGTTCTGAGTAATTTTGGGCTGTTTCTTTTGGTCCATTTATCATGAAACTTTACACATAATGTTAAGGGATTGGCAGGCATTTTCAAAATATGTCAAAAATTGAAAAATGAAAAAAAATGGAGATAGCGATAAGAGACATATCATTGTATGAGGCATATTATCATTACATATACATATGTATATCATCATCATCATCATTAACCACTTAGTCCAGATAGGGTCGCAGTACATATGTAGCACTACTGGAACAAAATCGTATATATATTTTCCAAGTAATTTTGGGCCATTTATCATTAAATTTACACACAATGTAAAGAGCAACAGACATTTTGAAATTATGTCAAAAACTGAAAAATGACAAAAATGGAGAGACGAGGTTTGGTGCTATGTAAATATGTAATACATATGAGACAGTTATTATAATGTGCATATTATTATTATACATACATATAATATATATGAGACACATTGTTAGTACAGTACAGATATTTACATATTACAGATGCACCAAATCAGTTGATGGCTGTTTTTTGCTGACTGATTTTTAATAGCCAAATACACATGTTGTGGGCTAAATACTCTAGCACATTTTCATAATTTTCACAATGTTACATACACATATTTAGATATATTGCTCTTGTCGGAAAACGAAACCTCGTATCTCCAAAATGGTAACTTTACAGGAGAAGGAAAAAACATACTCTACTTTTAATGTAAGCCAATGGAACCAGACTTTTTTCCGAGTAATTTTGGGCAGTTTCTTTTGGTCCATTTATCATGAAATTTACACACAGTGTAAAGGGCAAGAGGTTCTCTCAAATTATATCAGAAACTGAAAAACGTCAAAAATGGACATAGGAGGTTTTGTTCCGACAGCATAGTGATATATATGACAAATGAGATGTATTCATATATATAGAGACTTACACATCTATAACACATGTGGGACATATTATTACATATAATACATATGTCACATATTATTATTACATATAGGTATGTACATATATATCATATATATTGGACTTATGACCCTATGTCTTGACATTGTATAAAAACAGTGTGTTTGTGTGTGTGCTCCCTGTGGAATCAGTTTGAGTGAGTTGGCCAATCACACACTTGAATAAGCCGAAAAGACAGTGCCAATAGCTACATGATCAGCTCGCACGTACACACGACACACATCCGCAGAACCTAAGCATGCTATTTGGACTCAGTCAAAGCCAGAGCGAAATGCCTAAAACGTGCTGTGTGCTCACTCGTACAGAACAAACAGGGTCAGACAGCCAATTGCAAGTAACATTGGTAGCTGCAGCAGGAGCCGCTGTCCAATGCAGTCTTAATGCTGAGGCTTCAGATGCTCCATGTAGCCTTACAAGTGACCACAACAATGCAGTATTATTCTGCATGTGTGTACAACAAACATGCACATTAAAATGCAAAACAAAAGCTATGTTTATTATTTGTCTTTAAAGGCGAATTCCACCAATGTTCCAAACTGTCTGCATAATCAGATGGTCACAGTGGTGGTGATAGGAACCAGACGTCTGAAGAGGTTAATGCCTTTTAAAGCTACCTCACTGAGTTTATTGCATAAAATAGTTCTGAATATGCTTGGAGATGATTTTTTATCATAGTTTTTTAGATAATATTTTGGCCTAATATGTGTTTTTAAAATTCATTCATGCTGTAGAGGTGTGCGCAGGGCATTATGGGGCCAAATAGTCCCCAAAAAACTTCTTTTTCCAGATTTGCGGCTATTTTACCATCATCAACATTACATATAAAACTCAGAAGACTCGTGTAGGTTCACTGGTGGTTCTGGATAGTAAATAAAATGGCTATATTTACGTTGTTTATAGGATTGTACATTTTTAAAAATCAGTGGAATTTCCATTTAAAGTCTAGTTTTGTATTACACTCTTAAAAAAGATGGTTCTTCAAGGGTTCTTTAGTAAAGAAAATGGTTCTACATAGAACCATGAACACTCAAAGGACCCTTTGCAAAGCGTTCTTTGAGTGTTCAAGTAGGTTTTTGGTTGAGGTTTAGGGGTTGAGTTTAGGCTTTTGGTTGAGAGTTAGGGTTACAGTTTGGATTAGGTTTTTAGTTGAGGTTTAGGGTTCTTAGTAAAGTTGAGGTTTAGGGTTTTTTAGTTAAGAAAATGGTTCAGTATAGAACCATGAACACTCAAACAACCCTTTGCATGATTAAAGGGTTTTTTGCATCATGAAAGCGTTCTTGAGACTGATGGAGAATGTGCTGTAGATGGTTCTATGCAGAACCTTTTTGAAAAGAGTTCTATGTAGCACCCAAAAGGGGTCTTCTATTGTAACAAGCTTGACATTGTAACAGTAGAAGAACGCTTTTGTGTGCTATAAAGAACCCTTTTCAATCTGAAGAACACTTTCATGATGCAATAAACCCTTTAATCATGCAAAGGGTTCTTTGAGTGTTCAAGGTTCTGTACAGAACCATTTTCTTTACCGAACAACCCTTGAAAAACCATCTTTTTTAACAGTGTAGGGTGCAGATTTTCTCAGTTCTTTATGTTGGTTTTGTTCTCACTGTACGTTTCTCCCTCGTTCTGGATAACATTCCCTGTGAAAACCCACTCAGAACTTAGGTTAAGTGGGTGAGATCCACCTCACTGTAATCACGCTGCTGCAGTCATTTGACAAGAGTCACTGATGAGTAATTTCTCCTTTGAATCATTTCTTGTTGTCTCTAAAGTGGCTGTTCAGTTGTCTTGCCCTTTTACTGTCTGCTGTCAGTTTCATTAAAATGCAAAGCAAAGCAGATAAAGAAGTTTCCAACAGCCAGACAGTGAAAGACACATCCATGTACCGTCTGACCTTCTTATATCTGCCTTTAAAATGTGGCTCCGCTCCCTCAGATGGCTGTGTGGAGGATATGAACCTGCGGATGGTGGGAGGAGCGGAGCGAGTGGTGCAGGGAGAGAGGGATGAGGCGGACGAGTCTCAGCTCCACCTGCAGCTGAAGAGGAAGCTCCAGAGGAACCGCACCAGCTTCAGCCAAGAGCAGATCGATGCTCTGGAGAAAGGTCAGCAGGTCCAGCGCAGGCCGACTGCAGCACAGAGACACGAAATACACTCAGCACATTCAGAACATTTAGGACAAGAATCATGTATTTATTTAGGGTGAATATCAGTGAGCTGTGATCACTGCATATGAATCAGATTCATACTTACATACTGATTATTTATGTACAGGAAAAATGTGTGGGAAAAATATTCTCTTCTCTTCTCTTCTCTTCTCTTCTCTTCTCTTCTCTCTTTTCTTTTCTTTTCTTCTCTTTTCTTCTCTTCTCTTCTTTTCTTATCCTTTCTTTTCTTTTCTTTTCTTCTTTTTTCCTCTTCTCTTCTCTTCTCTTCTCTTTTCTTCTCTTTTCTTTTCTTCTCTTCTCTTCTTTTCTTATCCTTTCTTTTCTTTTCTTTTCTTCTTTTTTCCTCTTCTCTTCTCTTCTCTTTTCTTTTTTCTTTTCTTCTCTTCTCTTTTCTTTTCTTCTCTTCTCTTCTTTTCTTATCCTTTCTTTTCTTTTCTTCTTTTTTCCTCTTCTCTTCTTTTCTCTTTTCTTTACTGTTCTCTTCTCATTTCTTTTCTCTTATCTTATATTCTCTTCTCCCCTCCACCCCTCCGTTGTTCTCTTTCATGCACTTTTATTTGCTTCTCTTATTTTCTCTTCTTCTCTTCTCTCTTTTCTTCTCTTCTCCTCTTCTCTGCTCTTCTCTTGTCTTGTTGTCTTCTCTTCGCTTTTTTCTGTGTTCTCTTCTCTTCTTATATTCTCTTCTTATATTATATTCTCTGTTCTTCTCTCGTCTTCTTCTCTCTTCTCTTTTCTTCTCTTAAATTCTCTTCTCCTTTCTTTTCTTCTCTTCTCATTTCTTTTCTTCTTTTCTCATTTCTTCTCTTCTCTTCTCGTATATTGTCTTCTCCTTTCTTCTTTTCTATTCTTCTCGCTTCTCTTCTCTTATATTTTCTTCTCCTTTCTTCTCTTCTTTCTTCTTCTTCTTTTCTGCTTTTATATTCTCTTCCCTGCTCTTCTATTTCTCCGCATCATTTCTTATTGCTTCTCTTCTCTTCTGTTCTCTTCTTCTCTCTTCAATTTTCTTCACTTAAATTCTTTCCTCCTTTCTTCTCTTTTCTTTTCCTTTCTTCTCTTTTTTCTGATTTCTTCTATTCTCTTCTCTTCTATTCTCTTTTCCTTTATTCTCTTCTCTTCTTTTCTCTTTTCTTCTCTTATATTCTTTTCTACTTTCTTTTCTCCTTTTCCTTTCTTGTCTTCTCTTCTCTCTTCTCTTTTCTTCTCATATATTCTCTTCTCCTTTCTTCTCTTCTCTCTTTTTTCTGCTATTATATTCTCCTCTCCTTTCTTCTCTTCAGTTCTCTTTTCTTCTCTTCTTTTCTCATTTCTTCTATTCTTCTCTCTTCTTTTATATTCTCTTCTCTTTCTTTTCCTCACTTCTGTTCTCTGCTGTGTGCGTCTGAGTGCTGAATATACTGAAACTGTTCTTTTCTGTTTTTTCTGTCTTTCTCTGTTAGAGTTTGAGAGAACACATTACCCAGATGTCTTTGCCAGAGAGAGACTGGCAGCCAAAATTGACCTTCCTGAAGCTCGTATACAGGTAAAAAAAAAAAACTCTCTCAAACTTTCACACAAATAAAGTTACCAAAAAGGGTTATTTGTAGCGAAGCCTTAGGAGAACCATGTTTGGTTCCTAATACAACCTTTCAATGGACGGTTCTTTAAAGACACATGTTTGGAAACTTTAAAAACATTAAAGGTTTTAGAGAACCTCTACATGATGTAAAGGTTCTGTACTATTCTATAGTTTTTTTCCCTAGAAAAGAAGCATTTAGTGTCGATCTTGAAAGAAGCTCCTCTGAAGCTCCTCTGATCTCTTCCAGTTTCTCCTCCGTCCGTGTTCGTGTGATTTCGGGCCTCTTTAAGTCCGTGCCCGATTAAATAATGCATCACTTGAATAAACGCGGCTGTCATGCAGTGACCCATATTGAAACTGATGATTGACAGGTGTGGTTCTCCAATCGGAGAGCTAAGTGGAGGAGGGAGGAGAAACTGAGGAACCAAAAGAGGTTAGGGGGCGGGACTTCCTGTTCCCAAACGCACACACCGCTGAGCACATCCTTCAACTCACCTGTCTATCACTCTCACCACGGCAACAGCTCTGGTAAGCATCCCTATACTGTGTATGTCTGTTTAGATACAGCTGCCATATCTTTACTGCTGATTGTAGTGAATTCTGACTCTGTGACACTGAGATCACTTTATTTATGATAGTGCTCTTATTTACACCTGATAAATAAAAACACATCTGTTAGTCTGAGGTTTAAGGTTAGAATTTAGGCTTTTGGTTGTGGTTTAGCGTTAAAGTTTAGGCTTTTGGTTGTGGTTTAGGGTTGGAGTTTTGGCTTTGGGTTGAGGTTTAGTGTTAGAGTTTAGGCTTTTGGTTAAGATTTAGAGTTTGAGTTTGGATTAGGCTTTTGGGTGAGGTTTAGGGTTAGAGTTTAGGGATTAGGTTTTAGGGTAACGTTTAGGGTTTGAGTTTAGGTTTTTTAGTTGAGGTTCAGGGTTTGAGTTTAGTGTTAGAGCTTAGGCTTTTAGTTGAGGTTTAGGGGTTGAGTTTAGGCTTTTGGTTAAGGTTTAAGGTTTGAGTTTAGGTTTCTAGTTGATGGGTTAGTGTTAGAGTTTAGGCTTTTGGTTGAGGTTTAGGGTTTGAGTTTAGGTTTTAGTTGAGGTTTAGGGTTTTATATTATATTCTTCTATTTTGTATATTTAATAAAAAAATCCCACTGTATGACAGTCATAATTCGCAACAGATTGTTTTTCCTGTTCCATTTTTGTATATGGACTGTATGAACTGGAGAGTTCATGAATGGTACAGTTTGAAACTGACAATGATTACAAACTACATCAAGCTATTTTATTTAAAAAAATGTGCCTAATTTAATATTTAGTTATATGGACCCTTGAATATATTAGTTGAAGAGAGATGTTTGGTTGAGGGAGGGTTAGGATTAGGCTAAAGGTTTTGGGTTGAGTTTAAAGCTGTAGTGAGTGTTAGGTTAGAGAAAGTTATGGAAAAGTGAAGGTGAACTGAATAGTTTTATTCAATTTTTATTCATTTTAATTTAAATCTCTGAACGTTTTCTCTATTTAAAGAGGCATGTCTTATATTTTTTCTTGTATTTTTCCTTTATGACGGTCATAATTATTTTGTTTTTTGATTTCCAACCTCTATTTATCCCTAATTAAACAGGCGTCAAATGTATTCATCACAAAAACAGTTCATTCAAAACGTCTTTCCTGCTTTGAATCCATGTAAATACTGTATGGGCTGCAAAGTGAATGGCACATTTTCATTTTGAAACTAGAATGATTATGGAAAATCTGTTGATATCGGCCCTTTAGTATATTATTTAAAGAGACACATATGGCTGAGATATAGTGTTGGAGTTTAGGGTTTATGTTTTGGATTGGGGTTATGGTTGGTGAGTATTTGGTTTAGGGTTGGAGGAAAGTTAAGGTGAACTGAGAGGACGGTTTCTGCTTTTAAGCAATTTAACCCCTTAAAATCTCAGGCTTATTACATATTAAGGCTCATTATTCAGTAACTACAGGGACTTCAATGCAAACTGGTTGAGCTATTCTTAGGTTAAAGAAGTGTGTAATAAAACTTTGGGCCCATTTAAGGAGTTAAAGTTAAATATCATACCTTTATTTTTTAAATTAAAGAGGGCATATCCAGCATCGTTCTACTTTATTTTTTCCCTAAAGGGCAGAGGATTTATTTTACATGATAATTTCCCACCTTCTATTTATCTCTAAGTGAACAGGCACTTAACAGCTAATTCAAAACAGGCTGTTTTTTCAGCTTCTTCTCTATATATGGACTGTATGGACTGGAAAGTGAACTGAACATTTTCACATAGGACACAAACTACATCATGCTGTTAAATTTCAACATTTGGTTTTCTATGATACGGACCCTTTAATACACATAAAGAGATTCTCTCTCTCTCTCTTTTTCAGCCTCATTACACACTCGGAGCGACGCCTCTCTCTCCGGCTACGGCTCTCTCTCTGTGTTCTCCAGCGTGCAGGTATCTTCCATTTTCTTTAGAACCTCGTCTCCTGTAAAAATGACAAACTCCAGCACTGACATGCACTGAAATTCATGCACCAACATGCAGCAGCAAGTTTATTCCAGGTCACACATAGAGAACCACACATTTCACTCCTCTATACGAGTCTCTCGCCCCTACTGTTCATTACTTGTATTTAATGTAATTCATCTAAATAAAGGTGACTTTCTTAGCTCCCTCAGGATGCACACCCATTTTTGCATATTATTGTTTATTTAAAGAGTACCAAACAAAGTACTTCCATAGAAAATACTGAATAATTCAGTCCGAAATGTTTGTACATGCATCTATTATGTAAGTGAGTAGTGCTTTGACGTCACTCGGGCCTGTGCAGATCAAACGGTGACAAACGAGCTCCCTCTTGTGGCTGATGATGGAACTACTTCAGTCCAAAAGACTCAGGAGCAAGATTATCTGAACATATTTCCTTGAATTTCACTTAAAAATCCCACTAATGTTTCAAAATGCCTTCATAATTAAATGGTTAAGGTGTAAACAGAGTCATTCAGAGTGGTTTGGTGTGAAATGCTCTGTTCCAGAGAAACTTGCCAAGTGAGACTTGTTTGGTGGTGGTGATAGGAACCAGACGCCTGAAGACTTTTGTGTATTGTCATGGTCTACTGACACTTGACACACTTCTGTCAGTAAACAGTCCTTTATAGCCCATTAAAGTCCCTTTGGAAAGTACTGTAAGACTGTGACACAGTACTGTTTACGTCTTTGAATTGCTCTGGCTGCAGTGGAGGGAGTCCAGTTTAAAGTTCAGTTTGAAGTTTTGAAATGATTGTGATTTCATGTTAGACTGAGTCTGAAAGTGTTTCTTCTATCTCTGGTTTCGCAGACACGCTGACCCGAACTTTCAGGTTTTGATTTTGTGTGTCAGCTTCCGTGTTGTTCCGTGAAGCTGCATTCCTGCATCGTCAATAAGTGCTCATCGAGAGTAATATATCAGTGTTATTTACAGGGCAGCGCTTTTATGTCATCCCCTCCTGGCCTAGTTTCACTCCCGGCACGAGGACACACCCTGTTGTTAAAGCAGTGATCTCAGGAGAGAGCTTAGTGACTCAGAAGGATTTGAATGCTCAGAGAGAGGTGTTTGAGATTGAGAGGCCCCTTTTTTTACACCCTGAAAGCATTAACAGCTCAGTGACTGACATTTAGCATCTGAGCTGTTGTTGTTGTTTTTTCTAAAACGGCTTTTCAAAAATCCCTCAAGCCTGTAAAACTGCTGGGAAATACAGTTAAATTAAAAGCCTGTATGTACCTGGAGAAGCTTTTCTAACGTAGTTCTGAGAATGGAAGTACTGTGGTGTCACTGACCACGTAATCCATATACAAGTACACTTACTGGCCATTTTATTAGAAACTCTTTGTAGATCCACCTTGCTGGTGTACAGTTAGAGACTGTAAACTCATAAAGTCCCAGTTAGTGGAAGCACAAGGTCGGTGTTTCTAATAAAGTGGCCAGTTAGTTAAAGCACAAGGTCTGTGTTTCTAATAAAGTGGCCAGTTAGTCAAAGCACAAAGTCTGTGTTTCTAATAAAGTGGCCAGTTAGTGGAAGCACAAGGTGTGTTTCTAATAAAGTGGCCAGTTAGTGGAAGTAGCAAGTGGGTGTTTCTAATAAAGTGGCCAGTGAGTATAATACAAGGTAGGTGTTTCTAATAAAGTGGCCAGTTAATAGAAATACAAAGTAAGTGTTTCTAATAAAGTGGCCAGTGAGTGGAGGTAGAAGGTGGGTGTTTTAAATAAAGTGGCCAGTGAGTGTAATACAAGGTAGGTGTTTCCAATAAATTGGCCAGTGAGTTAAAGTACAAGGTAGGTGTTTCTAATAAAGTGGTCAGAGAGTGTAATGCAAGGTAGGTGTTTCTAATAAAGTGGCCAGTTAGTGGAAGTAAAAAGGTAGATGTTTCTAATAAAGTGGCCAGTGAGTGGAAGCACAAGGTTGGTGTTTCTAATAAAGTGTCCAGTGAATGTACGTAGGAGTGGCGAAAACAGGAACAGGTTAGATTAAAAATAATGTTTAATAAGAGTTAACGTAACAGTTTAGATTATTAATAATAACCTTTATACTTTATATTCACATTTTTTCTTCTTTTCTCTTTTCTTTTCTTCCAGTCTTTGCCCCCTCAGTCCACCCCATCTTACTCCAGCATGCTGACCCCCTCTCCTTCTGGTCCTCCTCCTCTACCTCGTAAATTTGACTCCACCTCCTACTCCTCCCCTCACCTCCCTCCACCTCCCACAGCCAGCACAAATACAGGTGAGTGGACACAGGCTTTTCCAGCACATTGCATCATAAAGCGCTGTATTGTTTAAAGCTTGTACTGATTTCAGTGGGTTGCAGGTGCACAAAGTCCATGCACACAATTTGACTCAGCAGATAATGACACCTTTTAGATGAAGGCAGAACATCAAATATTTCTCATTATAAACTTGTGCAAGAATGTTATAAGCAGGGATGGGTGATATGGAAAAAATGTAACATCACGATACTATATTACATTTTCATGATATACGATAAGAATCAAAATATTTAGTTTTTCTAACACTGATCTGCACTTAATCCAGTTAAACCAGACTAATTATGAAATCTTTAACCCCTTAAATTCCCAGGCTTATTACATTATAATTCTTATTATTCAGTAAATCCAGTGCAAACTAGCTGAGGTATTCTTAGGTTCTAGACTAGGGCCCTGGCCATTTAAGGGCTTAAGACATGCATTGGTCCATTGGTCAGTGATCTTTAAGTACTTACAGTATCTGCAGTATGCTCAGAAAAGCACATTGTGTGTAATGTGACATAATTTGTTTTGGTAATGACAAATATCATAATTTTTCCTGCTTGTAATTATAATATAATAACAATTATTTCTAGATGTTTTTGCTTATGTAAAGTGAAATGAAGATTAATTTATCTTACTACACTGGCTTCAAGCAATATATCATAATAAAAGCTAAATGATCTGAAGATTGATTTACTAGATAAAATTACCAATAAAGCACACAAGAGTAGAAATACTTTAAAAAGTCTTATAATATTCTTACAGCAGTTACATAATGAGTAATATTAGATGTATTTTTAGATGCTTTCTCTTGCCTAGATATATATATTTTTTCAAAGCAGCAGTCTATAATATGACATAAAATTTTGGAAAGATATTACAAAACATTCCATCTAGATTTTGGAATATGTGAATATATTTTCATGTTTTTTTGGATAAAAAAGCACTTCGAATGAACATTTGAACTCCTTCTGTGCAGGTTTTCTCCCCGGCGTGTCAGTCACAGGGCCGGTAGCCGTGCAGGCCAGCGATCAGGACATGGGTCAGGGTCTGGGTCAGTACTGGACCAGGCTGCAGTGAGAGAGAGCAACGCCTGACCATGCAGATGAGAAAAACCAGCACAACTGAACACCATGCAATCCAGTCTGAAACGCCTCAGAACTGCTACGGCAGTGACCTCAACCCCGTTATCGACCGAAACCACTGCCACCGCACAGTTCCCTCGACCACCCAACACCACCTGACATATGACCAACAACTTCTACTGCAGCAGAGGAATCAGGGAAGCCGTTACTAGCCATATGTCACCACACACTGACCAGTCGATTAAGCGCAGAGAAAAGAAATACAAAAGCGGAGAAGCTCTGAGTGCAATGCACACCAGCATAGAGACGACAAAAGGACCACTGTGACAGTTTAGCACTGTGGATTTTACCACTCATAGCCAACGTAACACGGCAGCCAAGCTCGAGTTGCTAAACATTAACCAGGACCTCTATAAATATACAGTACAGAGCAGAAGTCAGAGACCACCAGTCAAAAAAGCCACTGAGTACAAGTTATTCATTTTTCAGGAGATACTTCTGAGGAGATTAGATCATTTACTTACATAAGGGAAGAGAAATACATGAAAAAACACAAGAGCGAAACTGGCCTTTAAAAAATGATCAATAGCTACAGAGAAAATGGGCCTCCTAATAACCACCTGGAAGACCTGGTAGACACTAAAACTGCCCCCATCAGATAAACAGCACTTAAAGCTTTCATCGTTGAGAGAGAGGAGAAAATCAAGCTGCTTCAGATCTGAAAACATCCACAGGTGTTTCTGTCCATCCTTCCACTGTGAGAAGACGACTCAGCGCTATGGGTCTGAAAGGATGTGTAGCTGTTCAAGAAGAACCTCACTGAGAAAAGGAGACGGACACATCAAACAAAGAAGCTGAACAATGGACTGACCACCCCAGAGTCCAGACCTCAACATCACTGAATGTGTTTGATGATCAACCAACTTCTAAGACTGAACTTGAAGAATGGAAGCTGTAATTAAGGCAAAAGGTAGAGACGCTAAATGCCGAAACAATTATACTTAGTTGTTGAGGCTTTTGTGTCGTTGTCTGTTAAATATATGTTTTCTGCTTTGAATAACTTGTCCTTTAGCTTTAATGGCTGTTTTGACTGGAAATTTGACTTTTGCCCAGTACTGTACACGTGCAACAGACAATCAACATGTGAAGCCATGGTAAAACCCATGAAGATATCCAGAAATACACTGACAATCCAGCATGGACAACAAGCAGCCAAAATTATAGTCCAGCGCAGATAGAAGGCAACCAGTGACATTGACTCAGCCAATGGCAATCAAGCATTGACATTAAACAACCAACGATAATGAAGCAACCAGTGACAATCAAGCACAGACATGGGTCGGCCAATGACAATCAAGAGACATCAAGCCACCAATTATAAGTCAGCACCTATATGATGTAACCAGTGACAATCAATGAACTTTTAACCAGTGACAATCAATAGACATGGCTCAGCCAATGACAATCAATGGAAATCAAGCAACGAAATCATAATCCAGCATGGACATAAAGCAACCAATCAAGCTTGTGCGTGGAATATGAAGTGGACACTGACATTTGAGCTTCAAGCCAGTGGTGTCGAACCAAACCAGAGCATTTAGCAGCTAAAAAATAAACGAAAACCCAACAGTCCAGCAGCATCAGCCCTAAAGACTGAGACTAGCCTGGGGAGTTATTTACATCACGTATGTGTTTATATATTAGAAGCAAGAAACATACAAACTCCAGCAAAAGCCACAACCTACACTTATCATATATATAATATATATATATATATATATATATATATCATAATATATTAAAAATACATTACAGTATATTCTATTTAGACTCAACAACACTTTGCAATCTATTCCATTTTCTATGGTCAAAACTAGCAGCTACAACAGATAAAGACTTAGGATTAATTAACAAGAGCAAAGCAGCACTACATACGATCTAAAGGCTCTGTTAGCTATTAAAACCTCACAGGAGCTGCAGTGCACTGGGCTCCACCCAGCCTGTCTGGAAGTGTGTATATTTAAACAGTCATGAAAATCATTAAGGAGGTGATGGTAGACGAGATGTGCAGGGTGGGGCGCTCGCTGATGGGACGCTTTCCTGCCTTCTGGGAACTAGTTACGCTGGGTACACTGAAAAAATGTGTTCAAATGTGTACATCATTTCAGCAGGAATACAAAGTATTACATCAATACAGTTATTGGCAAAAGTAAGTAAACAAAGTCACATTTTGTTGATGTGGTATATCATCATAGTTCATACCAAACTCTTTTATCAACAATGGGCAAACAGAAATGGTCCAAAATGATTTGGAATAAAATCTCATTGCATTAACAGAGGGATGCAGTGATATGGGAAATATGGGCCGATTCCAATATGTGACATTTTTATGTATGTATCTGTTAATGCTGATACATATCACTGCTGTTGGAAGAAAACCTCATATATCATTTTTTGTCATTTTTGAGTTTTTGAGATCGTTTCGAAATGCCTGTTGCTCTTTACATTGTGTGTAAATTTCATGATGAATGGACCAAAAGAAACGGCCCGAAATGACTTGGAAAGACGTCTGGTTCCATTGACTTACATTAAAAATAAAGTGGGTTTTTTCCTTCTCCTGTAAAGTTGTCATTTTGGAGATACGAGGTTTTCTTCCAACAACAGAGACACACATCTTTAAAATGTAAATGTAAAAGTTAATGTAAAATGTTAATGTAAAAATGAGAACTCTGTCCACCTGGATTAGCATTACACTGCAAAAAATATCATCTTGTCAAGTAAAAGTATCTTAAATATAGTCAATAAATCTGATAGTTCTCCTGTTGAGATTGTTGTAAGATTAATTTTAGATTATTTAACTTATTTCTAGACATTTTTACTAGTTTTAAGTGATTGGCAGATCATTTTGCTTGTTGTTAGAAATGTCCTTGAAACCAGTATAGTGAGATAATTTTACTTTATATCAAAATAAAATGACCTAAAATACGTAAATAATGTCTAGAAATAAGCTGGATAATCTTATAATCAGTGCACAGCCATCTCAAAGCGTGAAATTTTAGATATATCGACCAGATTTTGGATCATTTCACTTGACAAGGTACTATTTTTTGCTGTGTACCATTTATTTCTATATTTATTTCTTCTACATATGTAGTAAAATAAAAAAATAAAATACAGATATTTTCTTCCAGAGTACAATAAATAATCATCAAATATTGGTTTGAAATATCTCCCAAAAATATTCTAATAGCATTGTGCATCTCTTTAACATGCACTGAAGTTCAGAACATTTTTGCCTTTTATAATAATAATAATAATAATAATAATAATAATATTAATAATAATTGTGATGACATCTTATCCATGTAGAAATGATGTACACGTTTGAATCAGGTACATTCAGTGAATCACTCTCAATACAGCTGCTCAAAATCTGGATTCTAAGATGTGGATTGGTTGATCTGTGGTTGCTGAAAGTGCAGATTATCTGATTGAATGAATGAATCTGATTGAGCCCGGGCTAGAAGAGCACAGACATGAAGGCACTGTGTGAAAATCAGAACAATCAGACAATCAGTGTAGTGTGGATGTGGATAGGGTTACGTTATTGATCAATTTAATGTGAACTGATAAAGGTTTATTCATTGTGGTTTTACTTCTTCCTCTACTCCACCACTTAATTAACATTTCAGAGTTTTTCTTTCTGTATAAATCCAAGCTTCTCACTTTAAACTATATGTGTATGTGGGAGTGTGAGTGCACTGTAGGACGTAATGCTTTGAATTCATCTGATTCAAATGAATCATTTCCACATGAGTGAAATATTACATCAACAATATTTCCGCCAAAGGTTAAAGACAAAACTGTGTTGATGTAATATATTCAAGGGCAATCCCACCAAATTTTCTAAATTTCTGCATAGAGATGGCCAAACTGTGCTGATGGAATATAATGAAGGGCAATCCCACCAAATTTTCAGATTTCTGTGTAGAGATGCAATCAAACTCATTCAGAGTGGTTTGATGTGAAATGGTACATTATGGAGAAACCTAATTTCTTTACAGTGGTGGTGAACCAGAGGTCACAATGTCTAACACAAACATAGTCATTTTATTTACTATCCAAACCCACTGGTGAACCTACACGTATCTTCTGAGTTTTTATATGTAATGTTGATGATGGTAAAATCTGAAAAGTGGTAAATGTGAAACTATAAGTTATGTTTGGTGACTTTTTTGCCTCATAACTTTTCCCTCTCCACCATGAATGAAAACGCGTTAGGCCTAAAAGACGTCTGGTTCCTATCACCACCACTGTGAACAATCCTGACTAGTTTCTCTACAACGAAGCTTTTCACATCAAACCACTCTGAATGACTTTGTTTACACATTCATCATTTAATTAATAGTTTTGGTGGAACTCCCCTTCAATACATGACTATATAGTGAGGTACGCATTTGAATCAAGTACATCTAGTGCATTGCGGTTTTCCAGTGTATACTTATGGCTGCTTGAGAAGTGAAGAGTGAGTGTGCGAGACCATCAGTGCTACAGTGTTTGTCCGTAGAGTAGTGAACATTTTTAGTGTAAACCCTTTTGTGAATCTATTAAAGGCCGAAATGTGAAACGTGGCTGTGAACTGATCTTCTCTGGCTTTAGGCCGACACGCATGGTGTGCTTTTCTCTAATCGCACCACCCCGCAGTCTTCCTCCCTCTTCTTCAACCACTCCCTCACTCTGTACCCCTCCACAGTCTATCTCTATCTCTCTCTCTCTCTCTAGAGAAACGCAGAGCTGCTCGATTGGCTGCTGTTTGGCTGCTGTTTACTTCTTACTGTCAGTGAACAGTAGCATTTCCTGCCTATGTGCCTGTGGATTTCCTGTTTTTGTTGCTTGCGTTACCACACCCCCCGAAAATAATGCAAAGCTGTTCTCACAGGGGCCGAGACACAGAGAGAGAGAGAGAGAGCGCAAGGGCGAGAGAGTGAGCAGATA